TTTTTAAAATATTTTTTTTTCAGAGAGGAAGGGAGAAAGAAGGAGAGAGATAGAAACATCATCCATGAGAGAGAATCATGGATCAACTGCCTCCTGCACGCCCCCTAGTGAGGATTGAGCCTGAGACCCAGGCATGTGCCCTTGATGGGAATCGAACCCAGGACGTTTCGGTCCACAGGCTGACACGCTATCTACGGAGCCAAACCAGCCAGGGCATAGCACTTACTTGTTAGTCATGATCCCTCACACTTCAAACTAATGAATGGGAGGGTTGATCTAAGGTTAGGTTGGATTTGGTTGTATCTTGTTATAGTGACATTTTTCTTCAAAAAAAAGAAAAAAATTACCCATAACATGTTTAATAATAGTATATTCAAAGGAAATCCTTGAGAGATTTTTCAAAAGTTGCAGCATTGCCAACATGAGTTTTTCTGCACTCTGAAATACCAAAATTAATATGACTTCCTGGCCTGGCTCCTGCCCAGAGCAGCTCTAAATGGCATGCAGTCTGCAGAGGCTTGTTATAATTTCCTGATCTCTCGCTCACTCAGTACTTCTGTGCAGGGAAGGAAAATGGTTTACACTCAGGGGTTTTAGTTATAAAGGAGGGGGAAGGTAGAAACGTGTGCTGAGTAAGCCCAGGCCGCCCGAGGGCACTATCCTTACAGCTTTTCAAAAGGGAAAGTGGTGCTTAAAAGAAGTCATTCCCAATAGTTCCCCTAGACTCATAGTCGGCAAACTGCGGCTCCCGAGCCACATGCGGCTCTTTGGCCCTTTGAGTGTGGCTCTTTCACAAAATACCTCGGCCAGGGTGCATCTATGGTGAAGAAGTGGCATTAGAAAAGGTTTTAGTTTAAAATTTTGGGCTCTCCAAAGAAATTCCAATCGTTGTCCTGTTGCCATTTGGCTCTGTGGACTAATGAGTTTACCGACCACTGGCCTAGACCCTTGTCATTCAGATGAACTCTGAACTGAGACTGCACCTCATTTTCTCATTAGGTTTATTACCGCCGGCAAAGCTTTCAGGAGCAAAGTACTTCCCTTCTCAAGGGTACACCAGACTCCCATAATGTCTGTGCCACCAAAAGAATGAAACGGTTTTTAATCCAGCTTTAGGGATTAGAAAGAAAAGTGAGAAACTTGGGGGGGGGGGACACACGACACTAGGACCTCTCATCTCTATGCTAACCAAAGTGTGGTTTTTCTGGTCCTTTTTCTTCCCTGGGGTCTTTGGGGGTGGGGGTGAGGGTGCAGGGAGGGGGAAACCAGGATTAAAAAGTGGAAATGCCCCATGGCTTGAAATTCCACATAAAATAATTTAAAGACTTCTCTTTAAATTCCCTGGAAGTACAGGTCACTTCCTTGAGAAATGTGGACAGATTAGCCTTAAGCCCCTGGCCCGGGGAGGATTTGGTACAGTGAATAAGCGCTTTAAAATGAAGTCACCGTACTGAGGAATGGCATCTGCTCCCCACGCTTAGACCAGAAATGCCAGCACAAAATCCAGTGGTTGTGTTTGAACACGGAAGGTTGAAAGGTATTTTGTTTTCTACCCTCACAACATGCCATCCACTTAGGAGTTACTTAGTGTTTACTATGCACCAGGCAGAAGACTGGTTCTTGTCCTCCAAGAACTTACTCTTCGGTTGAGGAGCCAACGGGGTTTTTCAGGGAAAGGAGCCGATGAAGGCAGTGTGATTTAGTGGTGAACAACGAGTCACAGATGCTAAATGGCCCGGGATGTTAGAGGAAGAGGAAGATTGTACTTATTTTCAATGAATTCTCCAGTCGAAGCCACATTTAAAAGTTGTTATACTTGCTGCTAATTTGTCCCTTGAAAGCATCTGCGTGATTCACCACAGCTTCGCAGCCAGCAGCTGTTCGGAAGGGACAAGGAAGCAGGCAGGGGACCGGCCTTCAGCCTGAACTTACCATTGAAGGAACAAGACATCCCTTCTCCTTGGGTAACAGACACAGAATGTGAGCAGCTTTTGCGAGGCAAACAGGCGACTTAATGAGCAGGAATGCAGACCCCTGGCTGTTAGTTTTTGGTGTGGGTTTTTGCTCCTATTAAAACTTTTTTCTTCCTGTTAAACAACGACTAAGCTTTGGAGATGAGCCAGTCTTAAAGTCTATTTCCACAACTGATTTTCCTTCTTAAGAAAAGTGCACTAAACGTGCCAGCTATATAGTCTCCAGGTAATGAGACATTTCTCCTTCCTAAAAATGATGGGGGCGGAGGGGGCAAGTAGCATCCTTCAAAGTGGAGGCCTCTGTCTGCCCAGCCGCTTACCTTTCGAAATCACACAACTTCCAGTGTCTGACACCCTGGGCCATAAAAATTATTTTTTTAAAATATGTTTTATTGATTTTTTTACAGAGAGGAAGAGAGAGGGATGGAGAGTTAGAAACATCAATGAGAAACATCCATCAGCTGTCTCCTGCACACCCCCTACTGGGGATGTGCCCGCAACCAAGGTACATGCCCTTGACCGGAATTGAACCTGGGACCCTTGAGTCCGCAGGCCTACGCTCTATCCGCTGAGCCAAACCGGTCTCGGCCGTAAAAATAATTTTTACTTTACAGGTGAGCAAATAACCTGGACCCCCTTGTGTCACCATTGGAATCTTTGCAAGGCAGGCGCTTTGAGCTGCTTTAGAGTTGTCACAATAGAGTTGAGCCTGCTTAAATAGGGGCATGTCTCAGCTTGCGTTTTGAGTACCTTTAGGCAAGTTTGGAGAATTGCAGTAAGCAAGCATTCCCCCACCCCCACTCCCACCCACCTCCACGCCCACCCTAGCTCCCACCACCACCCCCGCTAGATTGCGCTCAGGGTCTCTTCCCAAGAAGTGCCAGTGACGTCCCCGATTCCAAAGAGAGGGACTCTTTCCGAACCGAACCGTGGCACAAGCAGGCCAAAGAGCACGCTCTCGGGTTTCTCCGGGGGAGGGAGCCGCGGGGATGAGGCGCGATCGCTCCCGGAGCCTCGGAGAGGGCCGCCCGCAAGCGCTCCGGCCCGCGCTCCCCCGGCCCGGCCTCCGCCCGCCGTTCCAATCAGAGGGGCCCCACGGCGCCGGAGCGCGGTCCCCGGGGCCACCCCACGCCAGCCAGCCTGCTCCCGGGCGCCCCGAGGCATCCAGCCCCGGCCCCGAGCCCCGGGCCGCCGCTCCTCGGGGAGCCCCGCGCCGCCCCGCCCCGCGCACGCCCCGCCCCGGCCCTTAAGCTGCCGGCGCGCCGCCCGCGCCCAGAGCACATGCCCGCCGGCTGCCCGCGCCTCCGCCGCTCCCGCTGGGCTTCCCGGCTCCGCCTGGCGCCCTCCCGCCGGCTCCGGGTCCGCAGAGGTAAGTGCACCCTCCGCCCGGGCCCCGCCGGCCGCCTCGATGCCTGGTTCCCCCGCGGAGGGCGGCGCTGGCCGGGCCGGTCCGCGCGGGGCCCCGCGTGTCACTGGCGCGCACGGTGCCTCCGGGCGCGGGGACCCGGGTGCGGGCTGGAGCCGGTCCCTGGGGCCGGGGGGCGGCTGGGGCTGGGGATCTGGGCAGGGATCGCGGCCCCTGGCTGGTGGCGATCGGGGATCGGGAGTCAGAAAGTCCGGTCTCTGGCGTCCCCCCTTCATCCCTTCTCCCCGCAGCCCGCCCCCCGGGAGGTGTTCCCACCGCGTGCGGGTCTTATAGCGCTGACGCCAGGCTGGGATTGTAGATAACAGTCAGCGCGGTGAAGCAAGTCGCCTTTTTTTTTCCCTTTCCTTTCCACACTCGGCTTTGCCAGCAGCGCCCGAGGGTTTGCCAGTGACCTCCGGGCGGGCGCGCACGCAGGCGGCCGGTGCTGCCAGGCACACACGTCCGCGGGCTCGGCTGGCTGGTTGGTGTGTTTTTTGTTTTTTTTCTTTCTTGGCTCGATCCGTGGTCAAGATTAGGGATTAGAAATCTTGTCAAGCAGCAGGAGGTGTCCCTTGATTTTTTTTTTTTTTTCTTCCAAAAAACCATGTCCACCTTCTGCAAAGAGTTACTACTTCGACTTTGGTTGGTAACCTGGGAACGCTCGAGAGAAACTGGAAACCGCACGCCGTCCTGTTTGGAATGGAAGTTGGACTCCTCTCCTCTGCTCTAGAAATGCTCACATTTAAAATCCTCGGAAGCCGGGATGGTTTCCTCGGAAGACCTCGGTGTGTTTGCCACGAAGACAAAGACGGCTTGGCACTGGCCCTTGTGACAAACGTGGGAATTGGTGACGGCTTCAGGTGGTGGATGGATATGCCCAGAGCACTTTTCTTATTTCACAGAAAGAAAGAAAAATTCAGAAGTGGCCTTGTGAAACAGCCAGATGTGGCTGCCAAGTCCTGTGGCCACTTGTGTTCTTTGCACGGCCCTGTGTCCTAATTGATAGGATGACGGTGTTTTTTTTAAGGGAAGAAAATAGCCGCTTCATTCATGTATAACAGGGAGCTCCACCGATGAAATCTCAATACCTCAGTTCCCTCCATGGACCTGGCTATGCCTTCGCCATGCTTACAACACGAGCCAGCCAGTAATTATCGAGTGTTTCCTGTGCGTTCAGTTCCGCTGGACGTTTATTGAGGGCGAACATGGTGCACAGCGCTCAGCCAGGTTCTGGGAAATGGGGTGGGGGTAGGAGTGTTCAGTCGTCCCAGCTCTGATCAACCCTTTTGTAGCCTCCTGGGAGGGGGAAGACGGATTCCTTAAAAGCAGAACCCAGGCTTCTGCTCACATATTCTGAATGCACATTTCCCGCACATGGCCCAGCGGATATGCACAGCCGAGGGGCATTGTGCCTCCATTGTGATTCCTACTGAGATTAGGCGGGTTAACCCCACCTCTCCCTCCCCTCCTCTTCCCCCCCCCCCCCCCATTTCTCCTGGAGATGTAACTCTTGTCTCTCTCACTCGCTCTAGGTGTGTTCTCGAGTGCCAAAGAGGCCTGGCTTTCTGGACTGATTCCGAGCCGCTGGGGTGCAGAGGGGAGACCCTCCTGGGGAGTGAAGGATGACCAACAGGAACGAGGAGGAGCCCCGGGCGGCCGGCCGGATGCAGAGGTTCCAGCAGGGCGTCCGCAAGCGCACGCTCCTGGCCAAGAAGAAGGTGCAGAGCATCACCAAGGAGGACGTGAAGAGTTACCTTTTCCGGAATGCGTTCGTGCTGCTCACCGTGACCGCCGTCATCGTGGGTAAGTCGCTGGATAACAGCCCAAAAGACTTGTTCCTCCGGCTGTCAGATGGACTGATTGTGGGTATCGGCATGGTAGCCCAGGCTCCACTCTGGCTTTGAAGATTCTCCCCTTCCCCCTCCTCCCCCAAGCAAATGACAGGGCCCCCCGGCATGTTTGGAGCAATAAACGCGTGGGAATCTGAAAGAAGCGTCATTAGGCATTCTGAAAATCAATCGATTGATTGTTGATTGATTGAGTGGAAAGGGAAGTAAATCGAATGTTTTCCCAACTCATAGAAGGACAAAAGAGGAATCATTTAATCATCAGGCCTGAGCAGTTGAATAACAAGTTAAAAAAAAAAAAAAAAAAAGGCAAGCATGCTAGATTGGGCCAAAGTGCGATCATCATACAATGTCACTTTCACTTAAAACTGATTTATACAATCAGCACACCCAAAAGGAGATGCGCGTCTCTCCAGAGTAATTATACTCTAGCTGGTGCTGATCTGAGTTAGCCACCTTTTGGACAGAAAGGCTGAATCTTTGAATGATTTCGCACCCTCTCACAAAGTGACCGGGAAGGGCCAATGGGAGGGGATGTTGACACAGATCTTTCTTTCACTGCCCTGAAGCGCCGGCCACAAACAGCCATACCTTTTTGGAACTTCTCAGCCTCTTACAGATTTAGGATGGTTGATAGTAATCTGTATTAATAAAACATTATTGTCTTGTTTGATGTATTGGCATCTGAAATGGTAGTTTGTTACTTATGGGTAGCATTGATCCTACTTTAGAAAAAACTGCTTACCTACTGGGAACTTTTGACTGACCCCAGACAGAAACCCTTTGGCTAAGAAACATGGAAGTCCATGCCATGCTGTAAAAAAACATTTTTTTAAATGCTTTAACTTAAGTTTCTAATAATCTGTCACCATAAAATGGGCATTTTTTACAATTTCAATCTCTACCTTTGGTGTTTGCCAAGATCTCCCATCAAATATAAAGAGATAATGACAATAAACACTAAGAAAATTGTGTAGCGTGTAAATACAATGATAATTTCCCTCTCCCCTCCCAAAATTGGATTCTTCAGTTGCAGAGAAGTAGGAACACGGCGGTAGTTTGTCACAAGACTGTAGCCGTATTCCATTCCAACATCTTTGGCTCCTGTTAGTAATAGTTGGTGATTAATGACTTCAGTTCATTGTAGAGATGTTCGAAGACGGTGTCCAGATTGAGGTAGGGAGGCGATGGCTTGCTTTAGCAGGCGCCCAGCTTCGACTGTGTTCCTGGAAGCAGCGTTCCAGCACTGTGTCACTGCCTTGGACGCTGATGTGAAATGCTGCGCGCGCACCTCGTTTTTTTGCTTTGAACTACGGTCGTTGTCAAGACAAGCGATAGCTGCAGACTAAGAGCAACCTGCTATAAATAGTCCCATTCCGCCTACTTTCGAGGGGTTTTGTGTATATATATTAGCGTACTTGTTCCTCCCACAAGCTTCTGAAGTAAGTGGGTAAGGATGAGACTGTGATATTTACTTTATAGATGAGGAGACTGAACAAGGGGCAACTTGACCCAAGACAGGCTAGGGCTGAATCTTGAAATGTGTTTGCACTCTCTCATAAATGCCAGTGAATGCTAGAGCTGGAGGTCAGACTCAAGCTTTCACACCGCTCTGCCAGCCCACCTTTCTCCTCTGCTGACCTTTTGATATCTCGTTAGAGATGCCAGGCGGGGGAATGTGGCTGTCTTGGTGGAGGCTACGCAAGCAGTGCCGATGTATGCCTAAAGCACTGTCATTTTTCTATAGGATTTACCCATGTAGATCTGCAGAAAGCGTCTAAATCTTCTACAACCACATCCCTCTCATTCATTTAACAAACACCCATTTACTTTGCAATCCTATACGCATAACAATAGAGCCCAGTGATGCGGGAGTATGTTTGGGAAAGATGCAGAAACGCTTGTTCAAAATGGGATTCTAAACACCAGAGGGGAGTTCAGTTTCTAGGACAAATGTTTCGGCGAAAGAATAGGGGAATGGGAAGGAGTAAAACCTGAGCCTAGAAAGCAGGCCGACGGAGGAGTAAGTTCATGGTGACAAACATAATGTATCTTATTAAAGAAGATAATGTCAGAATTAAAGAATCCCGTTTTCTCTGCGAGCCCGGGGCCATTTCCTCGCCCAGCGAGGACTTTCCTGAGATTGGTGAGCACCGCAGTCAGTGAGCTGAGCTGGCCGCGGTGACTTGGCAGGATGCCCTGTTGGCTTTTCCAGTGGAAACTGAGGAGGCAGACGTAACCAGAAGACGGCACTCACAAAGGAACGCATAAAAGGAGCTCATTGACAGTCAGAGCGGCACGGTGCCTACACCAAAGACTTGGAGTCATCAATGGACAGCCTAGTAGCGGACAGAGCTAGGAGAGGAGGAAGAGCCCGTCAGTGATCTCGCCCATGGGGGGTCCCCGGGCACAAAGGCTCCATTTAGCTTGTCCCTGAGTACCATGTGTGAGCGGCCCTAAAAAAAACCACAGGGGAAGGACATGTCTAAACATCAACCCTTAAAGGCATATTGGAACAATGAAAATAAAGTCTAAAATAAAACGTAAGTACAGACAGTCCTCAGGTTATGTTGGACTCCACGTATGTCATTTCATGGTTCCGTCACCATCTCCCATTTATGTAGTAAAAAAAAAAAAAAAGTTCCGTCATTTTGAGTTAGGAGAGAAGGAAAACATATGTATGTACATATGCACTGTATGGTTTTTTATTATTTATTTACCACAAGTAAAGGTCAGGAATTATTCTCTTTTAACTTTTAACTTTTTTTACTGTGTCACGTCATTACTCTGTGTCTGTGCTCCATGTGAGTAACATAGGTGCTTATGGAGGTGGGTCCTGACGTCCGGCCGACATGCCATAGGAACAGATCTCTCACTGTAGACATCAACTCTCTAATTTATTTGCTGTCCTATAGGGACAAACTGGAAAGAGACTAGCGAGGAAGAAGAAAATAGTTGCTTTCCCCAAAGATTGTGGGATCCCTTAACACAACCCGCGTGGTTCAGGATTCCTCTTCAGAGTCCGGTTTCTGGAGAAGGCCGCACACAAATGAATAGACTGGAAAAAAGTTAACTTGGGAAAATGAGGGCTAGGCGGGAGTCCACCTCTAGAGGGAGGACTACCCGGTGCTCTGGCCTTGCTCCATCCCTTTTATTGAGGTTCTGAGATAAAGACATCCTTTAGGCGGGAAATTCCAACAACAGAAAATCAATAAGAATTTACATATGATTAACCAATTAAAGTTGCCTCGACCACCACTATCTCAACTAAACAATGAGTTAATAGCTCCGACCATTCAGAGCCGTCAAGGTTGGCCAGCTCCCTTTACATTTTACTACCAGAGACAACAGTTCGGTTTCCAGCAAAAGATGAGATGAGAAGAACGAGAGCTGTTACTTAGTTTTCAAATTCTTACGTTTTAATCACTTCAACATAAAAAAGAAGAAACCCTATATATTGAGGTAATTTTTTGTTGTTGTCCAGTCTGTTTTGTTTTGTCTTAGAAATAAAGTAAATGCACCTTTAGCATGTAGAAATGGAAACTAAGACATATTATGGAGGAGTAGAGACCTGGGGCTTTTTTATTCAGAATGAAGCAGAGAGTTGGAAATATTTCCCACCAATTCCTCTGCAAGCGCAGGCATAGGCCCACTGGTGTGACGTCTTTCTAAGCAGTGACGTTTCTGACGTCATTTCTAAGTGATGTCCAGGTCTGAGTGGGCCATGCCATGTAACTCAGCCCATGCCAAAGGAGCAAGATAGCAACCTGAGAGAAGGCAGCGCCAAGTGCTAAGTCCCTTTAAACGTTCGTTACTAAAGTGTTAGGCACCTTCCAGGGCTGTTGCAAACCTCTGTCTGACAAAACCACACTGGGAAGAGTGGTTTCTGTCTTTCCCTCCACGAAGTACTCTTCTTGCTTCAATTGTAGTAAGTTAGAGTAACCTCAGACATCTCGCTCAAAGACGTGGAAAGTCCTGTGTTGTGTTCATGTCACAGAATGCCTACTCATTACATGTCCAGGAAACACAATAAAAATGAAATCTCTGGCCAAAGCCATGGAGCATAAGCTCAGCTGGGAGGGGAGGGAATCTGTAAATAGAATTGCGTAGAATCGGATGTTGGTTTTACAACTAGCACCTTCCTTTGTTGTTGGTGCGCATGCGCGTGTATGTGCCTATACATACACACAAGCACACACACACACACACACACACACACACACAGAATTTATGTTTGGGTTATCCTTTTGTGAGTTTGAGAGAAACTGGTGTGTTTTCAGAAAAGAAAACATACTGCTTACATGTTCATAAAGCATCTTTGGCAGTAAAGTTAAATTGCACTAAAATTCAATGCAATTCCCTAATATCTCGGAATAATCCTATATAATAAAAGGCTGATATGCAAATCGACCAAACAGCAGAATAACCAGTCGCTATGACATTCACTGACCACCAGGGGGCAAATGCTCAAGGCAGGAGCTGCCCTCTGGTGGTCAGTGTGCTCCCACAGGGGGAGTGCCGCTCAGCCAGAAGCCAGACTCACTGCTAGCAAGTACAGCGGCGGTGATGGGAGCCTGCCCGCAGGAGTGGGCCTAAGCCGGCAGGCAGACATCCCCTGAGGGGTCTTGGACTGTGAGAGGGTGCAGGCCAGGCTGAGGGCCTCTTTCCCCTCCCCCCCAGTGCATGAATGTTGTGCACTGGGCCTCTAGTTTTTTTTATAAGAAACTATTCACCATGGCTGTCTCTTGAGATAGAAGCTGGGTGTTTGAGGAGTGCAATGGAAGAAATAGTACTTTCCTCTAAACTTCTTGAAAGTTTGATTATGTTAACCACATTCATATATTATCTCCTAGTACTGTTTTCTGCTAAATAAATAGTTTCTTTTTTATAAAAAGATTATGCTATTCAGCAAATATCTGGCCCTGTGCTGCTATGGAATGGGGAGGCTGCCCCCGG